TCAGGTTTTCTGTCTAATTTGCCTTGCTACTCCTAGGGGAAGTGGGAAAGTAGTACCAGGATGAAGGTATGGCTCGTGAAACATTTTCTTCTGGCGAAGTTCAACATTAGTGCACCTTAGGAATGCCCCACAAATCGTTATTTTCCCTACGAGGATATCAAGGAATAAGTAGCTGACAACCACTTGCCTTTTCCGCTTTCTACTACACCTGTTATCTATCCTGGACCAACTTCCATGGTATCCTTTCAATATATCTGCGTTCGCCCTGGAGGATGGAAGCTTTGGGTTATCGTCTGGCTATAAGATGGTTTGCTATCGATATCATTCCCCCTCTGCAAGTGAATTGATCTGCCACACTCAACACCGAATTTCCCCTGTACGAGCATGTGTGAAAAAGCATGGATGCGGGCTACGGGGCCTTGAAGTAGGTCGCATGTTGCTCAAAATTTATCAGGCCATTGATTCCATGATGCTTCTAGATCCTCGTGGTTGAACGAACATTTGCTCCGTCGCTCCGGTTAGGCGAATTGGCAGTCGAAACCTTTAGGTATTATATACCACGATGTCCCGTGAGCAGCTCGCATGCTGTCCGTCAAACACATGGTGACTATCTTCCGGATCTAATTTGGCGGTTGTGAGAATGAGGTACAATACAACGATCCTTCCAAGCGCGCAGTTTTGAATGATCATCATAATAGCTCCAGGGGTGTTGCAGCTGCGCAACTGCCACTATTGCACGGACCAAGTCAACCTTCAACCTCGACGTTAACGCCGATGCTTTCAGCCGGCAAACTAAATGCCCGTGTATGCACGTGTCACTCTTTCGGTGGAAAGGCACATCTACTTGTCCGTAGTACTGATTGAGGCCGGATGAGAGAAGAAGATTCGCATGCATGTGGTCAATCCGGTGCTGTACGCAGCATGGTATGCATCACTTGGTCGAGAGTCATTGCCCCGTGAGGCTTCTCCATCAGTCGATACAGCGGAAATTATGCCGCATAACGCGTTACAAGAGAAGATATTCCCAAGTAGAGCATTCTTTGTACACGGTTCATTGATATGCGGTCAATCTGCCAGATTTAATTTTGGTACGTGCCCTGGCTTCCTCCTTTTCCCCATATCTATGCGGTGCTCGGTTGAGAATGAACCACCCATTGGAGCGCCTTCATCGTCTGATTATTATCCGTCCGAGTCAAGTATAAGTACGGTCTTCTCGGGCTGTTTTGGCTACCGTCTTGCCAGGAAATAAACGGCGAACTCATCAGTTTCAGGTCTGCCTGCGCACAATGCAGATTTTGGTATTCTTTGTCCTTTCGCTTTGTACTGCCTTGGTTTCGTCCTCTCCGCAAGTTCAGCTCAATAGGACAACAGTGGTAGGGAGTAAAAATCCGGTACTGCAGCTGGACTTTTTCGGAGGTGCGTCACTGTCTACGAGCTAACGATCTCTCACCCAGAGAATGCACAGGTATACCGTATGCTGAACCGCCCCTCGGGTCACTGCGTTTGCGGCCATCAGTGTTAAAATCACACCTCAATGCTGGAATTTTCAACGCAAGCAGTTTTGGGTTGGCCTGTCTGCAGCCGGTAAGCGTCTCGTTATCAAAGGTGCACGTAGCTTGACCGATCCGTAGGGAATGTCCAGCGACCTTATTTCAGAAGACTGTTTGACTATTAATATCCTTCGTCCCAGTGGCGTTACGGGAAGATCTTCTTTGCCTGTTCTATTTTGGTAATCGTGCTCCACGCCCGCAAGGTTCTTCATTGATGGTGTTTGCCCGCAGGACGTTTGGTGGGGGCTTTGAATCCGGTTCCGCATCCACATTCGACGGCAGCGCTATCGTTGCCCAAAGCGTGATAAGAGTAAGTGCTGCCATGGAATATTGCCCCGTACACATCGCTGACGCACTGCATATCTAGGGGACGCCCGTTATCTATGTCAATTTTAACTACCGTCTTGGACCTCTCGGTTTCCCCCAAGGGGCAGAAGCTGCATCTCGGGGAATTCTCAATCTCGCAATCAGGGACCAGCTGGCGGCACTGGAGTGGGTACAGGTAAATATTGGCGCATTTGGCGGCGACAAACATAAGGCATGTTGGAATATCATTGCCATCATACATCATCGGATCAACAATACAATAGGTGACCGTCTTTGGAGAGAGTGCGGGTTCTATCATGACGTCCATACTGTTCCTAAACCCATCCATATCCAAGTTCGCAAGAGCGGCGGTACGTATGGCCAACAAAGATCCGAACCTATTCACTTATCGGCTGTAGATATTTGAGTCCGGATCAGCGACTTCGTCCCTCGCATTCAATGCTCAGCGTCGAGAAGACTCCTGGACGAATTTTGTCCAGGGGATACCAGACTGCGCCTCTTTTGTCGGGACGTCATCTACTGTAAAATGCTTACAGTCCGTGAACTCTTCAGACGTGCTTGAAGGGTTGCTGCTGGCCTTTGCAGAAGCAGACGAACAGTTTCCATTTGATCCTACACTTGACGGCCCTCATGGTCTTTTCCCAGGTCTGCCTTCTGAATTATTTCCCCGAGGCCAGTTCGCCCGATTGCCTTTTATCGCTGGTACAAACTTGGATGAAGGTTCGATTTTCGCAATTCTTGTTCCTCTGTAAAGCTGACCATCTGTCCAGGAACATTATTCTGTCCCACGGCGTTGAACTATACTAATGACCTCCTCAAAGAAATCGTGGACGCAAACTTCTCGCCCCCGACAGTTCCTTCTAACATTCTGGATGAATTGTTAGCGTTGTATCCTGACGATCCCTCCGCTGGTTCTCCATACAATACAGGTAATGAGACATTTGGCCTCTCGCCCCTCTTTAAGAAATGCGCCGCGTTAAGTTGGTCCGTTCTGTTACCCGTACTTCACCCTGTTTAGCGTAACTCATAGCGGGCGACTTGATGTTTGACTCCCAAAGACGCCACTGGATTCAAACCGCCTCAGAATCTGGCGTTAAAGCGTTTGGATACCGTTTTACGCAGCCTTCGCCTACTCTCCCAGCTGACCTTGGAGGTGGGTTTTATTCAGTATTGTAATGCTACATTGACATCGGATTTCCTCCGAAGTCTCTCATGGCAGCGAAATACGATTCGTATACGGTGACCCGGGGACTCTCAATCAATCGGCTTCAGCAACTGTGCTGGGCATTGCGATGATTGACTACTGGGTGTCTTTTGCAACGAGTTTGGATCCTAATGATGGTCGTGGCTCGCCTCGTACGTAGTCTGCGTCTAATACGGCTTTATCAATCCTTAATATAGCGTCTCTCAGGTCCAATATGGCCCCAGTATGCACCCAAACGACAGGTAACACTTGTATCTATGTCAAATAGTTGAACTGTGCTGAAATCGCCCTCACAGGTGCTACTACAGCTAAACGGTGCCAATCTGACCGTCATTCCCGACGATTATAATAAAGAGAAGATTGATTTTATCGTTTCTGAAGGCTCAATCTTTCGTCATCGTCGTTGACAACCTTTGTTATAAGTATTTTGGTTACATGGTCATACAGTGCAACCGGTGGTTAAAACATAGCCGAAGCGCTGAGTGATTGTTCGCGATTGCTATCAGTAAATTCCCACAAAATAAGCGCTTCATGGCTATGCTGGGTCGTGGGAGCTTCTGTTTCCTTCCCGTCCCTTTTTGTTCAAAACCACTACGACTGAAGCAAACCAAAGTGTCACAATGGCGACTGCTCTTACTATATTTCTACTTTTACCTGCTCTAGCCATTTCGCTAGCTGTCACCGTACCTTTCACTGGCACTCTTGTACGATTTCGAGTGAATTATACTCCAAAGAGTCGGATCGCACTTGACGAAGAGAATGCTGCACCAACGGGTCTGGGAATTGTTTTTTAAGTTTTTGTTTTCTGGTCTGATTGTTATGCAGGTTTCTTCTCATACACGTACGTGGGTATGGCGAGGCGGGTATACCGAATTGAGGTACAGAGCTCTGACTTGCGTTTCCTGCACCTTTTAATCATATGCACATTAGTGTTGGAAAGGGTTCTTCAAAGGATACGGTGGGCATATTTTCGAGTACTTGAGCAAGTTGTTGACCACTGATTTTTAGGTCCTCTATTTTTCAGTTTTCTCTGCATCTGCGTTGGAGTGGCATTGTTTACAAATTATCAACCTTTTGTCTGGCGAGGCGTTCCTCGAATTCCTCCGCTTGGCATCGTCGGTACTGCGGTGACCATTTTGTTATCTGTCGTACTCGGTGTTCCATACAGAGTCATCCTTCAACGGTATGTGTTTCGCTTGCTGAGAATGTCGTATTAATATTTTGCGTAGCTCCATGATCACGCCCTATGATTTGAGCATTCTCCACCCTATACAGTCTTGGAACGCTTTGGTCATGCCCACGTTGTTTCCTTCGGGTCTCCTTTCAGCAACGGCGATTATTACAGTCGCCAGCGCCGTCATATTCGGGCCCATCAGACACCTCTTGCTCACCTGGGCAAATCAATTGGTATATCCCATCAGTAACCTGCCGCTGGCGTTGTACTACGTCTTGGCAATCGTCTTCACGATTATAATTACACCTCTGGATATGATCGCCACCCGTTTGGCCGTACAAGGAAGTTCAGTCATCGGAGAAGCAGAAGAGAGTTCTCTGGTAGGAGAAACGGTGGTTAACTTGAGGGATGAACAAGTTGAGGTCCCTTATACTGGGGTAGTAGATTGTGCAACCAGAATCTGGGATGAAGAGGGATGGCCAGTTTTATATCGCGGATGGTGGTTCACTCTCCTCACTGTTGTCTACTTTTTATGATGGGCAGTGGGTGCTCTGCATTAAAATTGCCAATACCAACCCTATACAATGGTTCCATTTACAACGCAGTTATTATAGTTAGTGTTTTCAAATTTCCCACGGATCGATACGGCCGATCACTTGTCAAAAGTTACGATCAAACATTGAATCCCTTCCAATATGTACCTTTTACTTACTCGTCCGTCGTTCCATTGTCCAGAGTCAAAAGGTCCGACCTGCCTGGCTCGAACAGGCGACCTCAAGATCAACATTACGTAATCATTAATTCATCCGTTACAGTCTCGCGCTCTTCCAGCTGAGCTAAGGTCGGTTAACATTTTTGTGTAATTAAAATTATATATCCCTTAAACCCTTGGAATTCAATCTTTTCTGTCTCCTGGCTTATCGCATTTTTCCCAAGTTCTTCCATGTGCCAAAACGACCAGCGCTAAAGAGGCCGACCTTCCTATGAGTTTACTTGTACAAGGTAAAAGTTACACCGAAAAAGACAAGGCATCGTTTGAAAATCATCATAGGCCTCTGTCCCGCCTCATCAGGACTTGTGAGGATGGCCATGGAACTTGGAGCGTCCTAATCTTGCGTTCGCTTATCTATTAATAGCTTTTCCTGCACCATGCGGTCTATCGGCCTGGTTGGATGGTACTTATTGCCTGCATGATGTGAAACAACATACAGCGTTCTTGTGCTCTTCGCCCCATGTCTGCGCAATTCTTCTTCCTTATCCCATTGTTATTTCTGCTCTTATGCCTCAAAACTAACGCAACTCCAACTCCAACCTCAGTGGGAACGAGCTTTCCCATTCACAAGCGCTTTAATTCTAGAATTCTTGGGGATGTTCAGCTCCGTTACGTGGAAGATTCAGGCATCTGTGAAACAACCGCTGACGTACATCAAGTCTCCGGATATATCGATGTTGGAAAGAATATGTCAATGGTCTGATCTCTCTTTTCCCAATCCGGATTATCTGCTGAGATTCATAACAGTGGTTCTGGTTTTTCGAGGCTCGAGAGTCGCCGGAAACAGCACCGTTTACCTTATGGTCAGTCAATGAAGCATGCGCACTTAAGACGGCAGTTCTAATTCGCCAATAGGCTCAACGGCGGTCCAGGATGCTCGTCAATGATCGGCCTTTTCCAAGGTAAGTACAAGTCTGTCGTCATTTGGATGAATATTTCCCAATATCTCATTTCAGAACATGGGCCCTGCCTTGTAAACCCTGATGGCGCGACCACTGTCCTTAACCCATTCAGGTCTTTATTTCCCTCGCTTTTCGCTATTTATGCTTACGTTACATCCGGCAGTTGGAACAATCTCAGCAATAGTAAACACTCTTTCACGCTATATATTCAAACTTCTCTTACATGCGTTTTAGTGATCTACATCGATCAACCCATCGGGACAGGGTTCTCTTTTGGAACTGACACCGTTAACAGCACGCTGTCGGCATCCCCTTTCGTTTGGACAGCATTCCAGATTTTATTCGAGAGCGGACAGTTTTCGAAATTCAAAAGCAGAGAGTAAGGCTCTTCATGATCGTTTTCATTCGGGTTTGTTTTACCCTCTTTAGATTCATCTTTGCTACCGAAAGCTACGGTGGTCATTATGGGCCAGCTTTTGTAACCTACTTCAATCAGCAAAACGCTTTGATTCAGCAAGGGGCAATTGAAGGGGTCGAGATCGTTGTCAGCGCCTTGATGATCAACAAGTAAGCTTCATGTATCTGATTTCAGAGTATCACTGAGATCGAGTCTTCGTAGCGGTTGGTATGATCCACTTATTCAGAATAAGGCCTACCTAGATTTTGCTACCAACGCTCCCGGATATGGGCAACTGCAAAGTGATAAAGTGCTCAAAGCAATGAACACATCGTACTTCGAGAAGGGCGGGTGCTTGGAGCAAGAACAGGCATGCTACGCAGCAGGAAATTCAAGCAGCTCCGACAGGATCTGCCGCACTGCCGATAATTTCTGCGTATGTGGTGTTGCCATTCCAGTTTGCCCTTCCATTGGTTCACAATAGACATTTAGGTTGACAACCTTTTCGTTCCCGCAGTTGGTGATCGCGACTCCGATGATCTCAGACAGAATTCTTCTGCTTTATTCCCTCCGAGCTTTTATATCGACTTCTTGAGCAACGCAACGGTCAAGAAAAGGATCGGGGCCACGAGCGACTACTCCGAATGTCCTGATGCTCCTTTCGAGCTGTTCGTCCGAACAGGAGATGTGAGCTTACAGCAATTTTGGTGTGGAAGGTGGTACACATAAGGATCTTTGTAGGACGCAAGAACGCTTCTGCCTCAGTTGGCTGCATTGGCAGACTCGGGGCTTAACATGCTGATCTGGGCAGGTGACGCTGATATCAAGTACGTCGTCATTTAGGGTTTCTTGTTTGAAAAGAGGAGGTGACATTCTTTCTAGCTGTAACTGGCTGGGAGGCCATGCATCTGTGCTCGCTATGGACTGGTCTGGAAAGGAAGCCCTAGCGAACACGCCTTTCACCAATATGACCATTGGCGGCACTGCCGTTGCTGCAGTGCAAAACGTCGGGAATTTCTCTTTCGCGTAAGTGTCTAGCTATTCGTCTTTTCCTGCCTAATCGGATTGTGTTATCGCGTAAAGACGGGTTTACGAGGCAGGACATGAAGTTGTATGTTACCTTCCGTCCTTTTGCAACACGCTTTCTGACATCACTTTACTTAGCCCGCTTTTCAGCCTGCGGCATCCTTGGAGATATTTCGTCAGGTAATTAACAAGGAACCTCTACACTCGGTTTGAATTGTATCTATAATCAGTGCTTGAGAACTGGATTGCGTGTAATTGACTGCTCGAGTCAAGAGAATCCTACATGTAATGTTTACGACATCTCATACGTTCTCAGATTCGACTTGACTGAGATTTGTCTCCACTCCTTCATAGCCGGGACTGTGTCACCGGTTTTCAGAAGCAATTTGCTACCAACTCATTGCAACACGAGGCTTTCTGTGTGCGGAACAAGTTGAATCTTCATCTTCAAAGGAGAAGTAGGATACTCCGAGACGAGCTCTATTGCCTGGTCAGCAAGTGTTTGGATGACTCGATGGCGAGTCAGAGAATGGTAATCTCACACTCAACCTACACAGGAAGTCTAATCCATCACCTGTCCTTATGACCTGATACTCTTTGATTAGACATCGATGAATTGTGGTCTGAGCGGGAATCTTAACAGCCTGCTCTCCATAAATTTATCCTACCTCCAGTTTACCATCTGGCGAAGCGATTTCAAGCCATATAAGACTGATAGCTAACGACGATGTCTAGGGTGCTGGATCGATTCGTCTTCATTATCATCACCGAACCTCATACCCTGATGTCCTGCTCCGATTCTTCTTCCTTCTCGGCGCAAAGAAAACTTGAGATCTCGAGACAAAGGAGCAGTATCAAATTAGGTGTATGTACTCGGCATACTACCTCATAAATCGAGCTAGAAGTCTAGGGCCGCACAAACCATCACGATTAAAGGTTCTTGGGAAACGATGCGATATTACTTGTCCAGAAACAACTTGATAAAGAAGAACTTGGGGAAAGGAAATACGCGCTGCTCCAGGAGCAGAAGTCTCGGCTATTGAATATTACGAAACGATACTAGCTGCATGCGGTTCTAGTTCTTAGGGTCAGGACGAGAAACACCTGTCCTTTCGACTCGGACTCCGAAGGTGTAAGCACTAGTAGCCGATATCCCATTCATGGCTGTAGGGCGCTCCAAAATAGATAAAGGAAGACCGAGAAGCCAATCCAAGCCAAGTACACGAGCGAACGCAATTGTACAAAACGGACTGTGCAGTGACTCACGCAAAACTGGCCGGCCCTTATGGTGCGTCCGATCGGTCTCTCATTCTTTCTCCTTCAGACAAGCATGTTGAGCTTATTTTTGACAAGTCGCCCAAAGATGGAAGGGACGCTGTCGTTCTTCCCAGCCATCGGCAGGCCGTATTCATTCTAGTAGGTGATTAGCGCTGTTTACATAGCGACAAAGCATAAATACTGGTAGCCGCAATCGCATGCAGGTCGCTATTCCTTCCTTTATCAATTAGATTGGACGGTTTTGGGTTCTCGACGCTCCGGCAGACTAACCCAGGCCACTCGGTGCCCTTTGGCTGAAGTTTCGGCGTCCATGCATTCCGCCTTCCCTGAGTTATCCGAAAGCCCCGAGGTATTTACCTGGAAATGCAATATGCCATCCACGTCGCAGTATTCCTTTCATATTTAAACCAATCCTATGGTAAAAAGCGGGTCTGCTGAGCGCTATTAATTAGTCGAAGGACGGCCATCATCTACGTTCGCACTTTCTGATACTTGCTTCATCAACGACCGTCTTGATAACGAACTTGATCATTTGCTGTATATATTTGTATGTAATCAAAAATGGGATTTGCATAGAATCATTCAACGTTGGGAAGACCTTAGTTGTAGTGCTTCACAACCACACCCAATACGACTTCCTCTTCTACACCTTTCTCGGCCCCTTCCGTCAACTTTACGTGCCCATAAGACTTTACGCGGCTAGATCTCCACTGCCTCATAGTCGGAGCAACCGTACCAGGCTTCAATTGAGATTTAATCCCAATTCTCTGCAAGACAGGGCTCTCGGTGTGCGGGGCAAGTTGAACGTCTTCATCGGCAAAGCAGAAGTAGAATACTCCGAGACGGGCACAGTTTGTCTGGTCAGCAGGTGGTTGGATGACCCGGTGACGAGTCGGTGGATAATATCCTCCGCAGAGGAAATCAAGCCCATCGCCCGCGTTAATGACCTGATTGACGTTCTCTAGTCAGCCTCGGCTAGGGAGAGAAAGAGAACGAGACCGACCAAAGCGTTGTCCATGTGTTTGACCCACCTCCATTTGCCATCAGGAGATAGGATTTGCAAGCCGCCGATGGGTTGAGACCAGAGCACGGTCACGCAGCCGATATCTAAAGGAAATCGGTGATCTTTTCGTACCACATAGCACGAGGTGAGCTTACCATGATGCCCCTTCAACCATACACGTTCCGTCTTCTCTTCCTCTTCCTTGCTACGGGGAAAGCTTGACATAACGTGAGAAAGGGATCACACGAATGGGCACGTAGACGTACTATTTCATAAATCTGACTAGGGACGCATACATAGTCAGAATAGGGTGCGCGTGAGAAACGAAAGGCTCGCACTTGAGGACTCTCCTTCCGCGTTGAATTGGTGTTTCTTGATCAAAGTATCTTCCGGAAGTTCTAATCCACGAGCAAGAAGTCTGCAGGCATATTCAGCAACGTATTCTAGATAATAACAATGACATACTTC